TTCTAGGCTACAATCACAAGTTTTTTCAATATTATGGGACACGCATATTATGTTCAGTCTGTACACATATAGACTTGATGACACTAAGCGCTTCAGACAGTTATTCTACTGTAATGTTACCCTGTGGTAGGGTTAGATACCATAGATATCTGTGATTTGGATTGTATACTGTATTTCTTAACTTTCTCTATGCAAACGAAAAAGTATATAAACCATTTTTTAAATGATAGATTTGGTGAGTTAGAAACTCTGTCAATGTTTTATTGCTGTCTGTGTCAGCAATTTTGAGACTTTTCTTCACTTCCTATCTAATTCATACACGTCAGGCACAACAGTATAAAATCTCCTCACTCTTGCCTATTTGACAGATATCATACAAAAAAACCCCCAAAAATCTTTTTTGGAGAGGATTGTATTGCTGTTGACATGCCCATTAAGAATATTACCTTGCACTTCCTGTCCAGGTGACGGGTGTCAGGCAGAACAAGAACTGAAGGGAAATCTCATGCATGGGGACAAAGATATTTAAAATCTAGCAAAAAAAAATCTCTTCAATGGAGGCAGAGACAGCATTTAAAACCTGACAGGTTGTGATCTTTATCCACCTTATTATAATTACTACATGCCATCAAGTCATTGTCGAATCCTGGCAATGACATTGACAGTGTTTCTCCAGAATGATCTGTCATCTGTTTTAGTTTTCACACTTTACAATTGCATGTTCATCTTATTGATGGTAATACCTTTTTTAAGCTGAACTTTGTCAAGCATAACTGTCCTTTCCAGTAAACTGGTTCTTCTCATAACATGTCCAAAATACAGCGTGAGTCTAGCCATCGGGGAATCTAGAAAAAGATTGGCCTTGATTTGTTCAAAAATCCATTTGTTTGTTTTCCCTGTTGTCCAAAGACATCAGGTCAGCTGCTCAACACGGGACCCAGAAGCTAGTGGAGATCTGAAGTAACAGTGTCTAACTCAGTGATTTTCAGCTTCCAGTGGTATTGGCCAGGTATGATATATACTGTACATACTGCAGTAGTATTGGTTCAAGCTGGACCAATGTAACTATGTATACTATGCTAATGCCTGGAATTATCCTTTAACAGACCAATAGATCAAGTTCATTAGAGCAAAACAAAACCACTCCATGCCCCATTTTATTCCAGCTGGTCTCAACAAAGCAAGAATGTGTTTCTAGTATTGTGATCAATAAATGCACTGTTACTGCTAAAATTGATATGGGATTGTTGCGCCATTTTTATTTAAAGAAGAACTCAAGGTATGGACATTATACATAGTATCATTGGTCCAGCTTGGGCCAATGTAACTACAGTATGTGTATACCATACCTGGCTGATGTCCCTGAAAGCTGGAAAATACTGAAGGAAACACCACTACTCCACTTGCTTCGAGGACCCGTGCCAAGATTCTGTCCTTTTGAACACAGGAGGTCAGCTGTTCAGCATGGGTGCCATTCAGGGAATGATTTGCGATTGCATGCATTAATTGGGCAAGATGGAGAGATGGGGTGGTGCCATTTCACAGGCTGGTTTAAGGCATCCTTCAAGCATGTTATTTAAAGGTACTATATTAATGTTTAATTTTAGTTCTTAAAGGAGAAGCAAAGCCAAAGCTTTTTTGGCTATACTTCTCCTATGGATCACAGGAGTGCAACTCGTTCTGCACTCCTGTGACCCATTTTCAGCCAACAGTGGGATAAAGTCCGTGGTTGGCTGATATCACTGAGCTGGTCCAGGCTCTGGAAAGATCTTGACCATATGGTTGGGATCTACCTAGAACCTTGGACCGACAACTGGGTCAGCCTCTCAGGTGCACCACTCCCTCCCCAGCCCAGTGCTCCAGTGAGCGAATGGGAGACCTGAGCAATTAGTGGTGCTTGAACAATCAGATGTCAGTTCAGAGCCAGAGGGGGGTGCAAATACAGAATCAGATCGATGCTGCATCCACCTAGGTGAGTATAATATTTTTTTCTCCCCCATACTTCTCTTTTAATAAAAAGAGCTGCTCATTGCTTAACAGCATTTATTTTTTATTTTATTTTTGGTACATGCCCCCCCTGACAGTGCCCAGCTCTCCATGCTCTTTGTTTGACAATCCCTTAGTCTTGAAAATGGAGAGAATTGATTTTCAAGATTTGCCTCCTATTGACTTCAATATGATTTGCATTAAAGTGTGCATTTTGTAGATCCTTGGATGTGTGTGCTGAACATGCCCACAAGTCAAACACAAGCACACTCTCCTTTCATTAATTGCTTGCTACAAGATCCTTTCAATAGATATAGACATAATTGACCCCCAATGTATACACATACACTCACCGGCCACTTTATCAGGTACACCTGTTCAATTGCTTGGTAACACAAACTGCTAATCAGCCAATCACATGGCAGAAACTCAATGCATTTAGGCATCTAGATGTGGTGAAGACGACTTGCTGAAGTTCAAACCAAACATCAGAATGGGGAAGAAAGGGGAATTAAGTGATTTTAATGTGGCATGGTTATTGGTCCCAGACGGGCTGTTCTGAACATTTCAAAATCTGCTGATTTACTGGGATTTCCATGCACAACCATCTCTAGGGTTTACAGAAAATGGTCCGAAAGGAGAAAATATCCAGTGAGTGGCAGTTATGTGGACAAAGATGCCTTGTTGATGTCAGAGGTCAGAGGAGAATGGGCAGACTGGTTCGAGATGATAGAAAGGCATGCTATCATGTCAATATGGACCTAAATCTCTGAAGAATGTTTCCAACACCTTGTTGAATCTATGCCATGGAGAATTAAGGCAGTTCTGAAGGCAAAAGGGAGCCCAACCCGATACTAGTAAGGTGTACCTAATAAAGTGGTCAGTGAGCGTATATATCCATGCATGTTAGTTATTATAAGAGTTAAACCTGTCGTGAGGTCCAAACACAGGTTACATATTCCTATGGAAAATATGTAGCTGTAACAATTTTTTGAAAATGTCCATTTTTTCCACAACCTATTTTTACATATTATCTAGACTTTCCAAAGCGTGAATATCTACAGCGTAGCCTGCACCTGCTGACACAGGTTAGAAAATCAAATGCATCCGCTTAAGATAACGTACACAAAGAAATGTTTGTTGGCTGCTACATTTACATTTAGACTTACACTACAAGGCATATTTACTTGTGGAATAAAGCATTTATCCCAACTGGCTGCTAGGCTCATAGACACCTCCACACAACAAATGCCTTTTAGATACAAATCTATAAATGGTTCAGACATTCTTACCCCAGAGTTCAAAATTAATCATTTTCCAATTCAAAATCTTCCACTTACAGTCTGATGAGTCAGAGAGTCGTCATACACTGTGTAAGTTTGCAGCTCTAATAGGTTTTCGCCCTCTGTAGCTGCATGATATGCTAATGACCAAAAACAGGAGGGAGGGGGGGGGGGGGGGACTTGAAAATATTTCAACTGACCACAAAAAAAATGTTATAAAAATGTAAGTTCAATTAATTTTAACCAATGAGGTATGTCCTCTGCTGAGGGCCATAATCTCACTATTTGGTCTATTTAATATAGTTCCAGTTGACAGTCCTATCTTATATTAAGATCTAAAACAATAAAAATGTTACGTGCCTATTCTTTTTTTTCACACCATCAGTGTCTGCCGGGTCGTACTTGTCGGTGACGCGGGTGCTACTCATAGGAGGGAGGAGACCGGCGGTTTGCAGTCACGATTACAGCAGCGCTGTAGCCCCGCCTACACGGGAGAGACTACAAAAGGCGCAGCATGGCAGAGAGCCGCACAAGCCGGCGTACAGAGGCTCCGAAATAAAGCAGACTAACGACACTTTCAATTAACGGAGACAAAAGGAGATTGGCAGAGGAAGCAAGAAAGGAGACTAAACAGAAGAGAGAAGATATTTACAGACAATGTAAGTACACTGCTCAATGATTTGCAGCTGCATTGCAAAGTAAAGCGCTGCGGAGCTGTCCTTGGTGCTGAACTGTATTCCACACTCTGTCACTTGAACATCTTCCGCACATTAATTCCTTTTTATTCATTTTGTATTAACTTTCTTCTGAAAGATAGACTTAGCTTTGCAGTTTCTGAATCTGAAGTCTGTATCCCTAAAAGTGATTGTTTTATACACGAAGTATACTCCAAGTTGCTGTATATTTACCCAGATACTATAGTATTTGAAGGCAGCTAAATATTGCTATTGTATATTATATATCAGCAACCAAAATACTTTTATCAATTGCACAATTTCCTATGCAGCTTTTTAAACTTAGTTATTTTTAAGGGTTTGTTAAATGAAGTTTGTACAGGTGTGTTATGGAAAGTTGTATTGTATTATGTTGTACTTGTATTGTTAAGTTCAAGCATTGTCAAAGTTGGCAGGACAAGATTCCCACTAGCCAGAAGTGCCAAAGGTAATCCTGAAAGTGTATTTAGTCATTTAGAAGAATGATTAGTATCTGGCAATGCAGTAAGTACATTGTGCTTAAAGATACTTAAACATGTATATAAATCAAATGTATCATAAACACCCCACCCACCCCACTGCAAGCACACGCACACCCACACACACGCACACATACAGACACACACTTGTATATATAAACACACAGCAGGCTTATATTGCAAAGTTGGCGTGAGCTAAGTATCTTTATTTTAGGCACATGACTGTAAATTTGAAATCTTATTGGATTCAACTGAAACTAACTGTCTCTTTTTTGAAAATAAGTATCCTTATCCTGGAGTGAATTTAATCTATAGGCTAACTGTTTCTTTAAACATAATATGTTGGTCATTTTTACGGTCTTAAAGGAACAATCAGTACATTTAACTTCTACTCTTGAGTTGAATATAGTGGTAATATAGTTAAGTAGATACATTTATCAGTATTAATATGTTAAAAAGCAGAAATCAGAATAGTTTTAGTGCTTCAATAATTATTTTGCTTTGTAGATATTAATCCTGTTCCTGGTGTTTTCCTTCAGATGCAGGGAAGCATGCGACTGTGGATGTCTATGCTGACTATATGTCTATCCTTGCTGATCTGCTTGGGAACATTTGCGGAGGCGTACCCATCAAAACCAGACAATCCAGGAGAGGATGCACCAGCAGAGGACATGGCCAAATACTACTCAGCACTGAGACATTATATAAACCTCATAACAAGACAAAGGTGAGATTGAAGTTCATTCAGTTTTGGAACAGAGGGTGATCATGTGATTTGAAGTCAATGCAGGCCAGGGGGTTGATTTAATAAAGACAATTAAACTGTTCACTTTACAAGGGAAGTTGCACTTTGCAAGGGAATTTTCACCAGAGCTTAGTGAATGAGGTGTGGCTCTGCTGACGTCCATCATCCAATTATGTGCAAGCAAAAATGCCGTTTTTTTAATTTTTCTTGCACATGATTGGATATTCTTTGCAAAGTGAAATTGTATCACATTCACTAAGCTCTGGTGGGGAACAGCCTATTTGCTTTAGTAAATCAACTCCCAAGTATTCTGTTGATACCCAACAATATATTTAACTTTTAAAGTCTACCAATTTAAGCCTATTTCATTTTATGGTACAAAATGTGAATACAACTCACAGTAATGAGCTTTCCTTAGTATTATTGGACAAAAAAACTAACAAAAGCAATAGAAGTTGCTTCTATTGGTTATTGCACATCATAGCTCCTTTCACTGTGTAATTCAATAAGACTTAGTATATTCTGAGCATGGTGGTTGTGTTGGAGTCAAACTTCGAAGAAAAAGCTCCTTCAAATCTGCAGTGCAATTGGCTCATTAGTTAACTGCAAAGCGTATTAATTAAAACCACCATGAGGTCCATCTTTATTGCAGCAATTAAGTTGTAGGAAATGTGGTAACATAGTTTCACAGATGTGGAATGATAAAATCAAGGCTTTTAGGAATCTTTCTCTGACAAGCAAAAGAGTAGGCAATATTTTGTTATAAATAGGTTAGTTTTAATTCTCAAGCATATATAATTTGGTATATGTAATATAAAACCTCTGCAATGATGAATATTAAAAAAACAGCCAAGATTCTTTAGTAACATACTAACAAATATAGGCAGACTTATCTAAAAAGATTAGAAAGCAATTTATTTTTTTATTGTTCTATTTGCTATCAAATTGCTTTGTATTGTTCTAAGCGCAGAGGAGGTGAACTATGATTGGTTGCTATGGGCTACTGCACTTTGTGCAGTATCATTGTAATTTTGCAGCACCCATTTCCGTTGTTCAAAAAAAAGGAAAGCAACCATGCTAACAAATTTAATGCATCATGCAACCTAAAAGCAGCCAATTATTCCATGAACTGACAACCCAAAATTGTGTAAATCTAGTGCAAAATTTACTTTCTTTACATTTAATAACATCTTTTTTAGTTTATACATATCTCAAATAGATGCACTTTGGTTGTTTAATTTACTGCCTTGAAGGTCTGTTGGCAATAGCAAGTTTTTAGAGTTCATCATTTTGAATCTCAATTAATTCATGTGAGTGAAACCACATTTCACTGTGATTTGTTTTTGGGGGAATTCTGAACAGATTAGTGTGAAGTGTTGAGGCAAGGCAACAGAGATTTATGCATTGTGACACAGTGCCCAAAGAACACTGTTAGAGGAGTTGATTAAAAAATATTCAGAAGCAAATGGCACACAGTGGAAAGTCAGAACTGCCCGAGAGCACTGAATGTGTAAGAAAAAATAATTTCCAACTTTAAACTAAGCCATTTTTTCTAATATGCAAGAGAGCCATCACAATGCAAAACAGGATGACAGAGCAACCCTAATACATGCTAATAGGTCTCCAGGGCATTTAACACCCATTTGAATTTACAGGCACAAGCTCAAAAGACATCTGAGTAAGGATGATTCAGAAAAGGTAGTTATGAAACCAAAAGCACGTTAATAGATTATAACAGGTGTACATACAAAACGAGAAGTTAATGCTGGCCAAGAGCAACCATACATGGTGGTGTCCTGGTACTATTGTTCAAAGCTAAATACAATAATGTGCTTAACCATAATAAAGTTTGGCCTTTTTTCTTGTCCTCTTGACTGTGTACTTTTTTCATATTTTCTCAACAAAATATTTTAGTTGAGTATTGCTACAAATTGTATATTACAAATTAAAATTTGTTTGAATATACCTATTACAGAGATGCCAAGCATACAACACTATACTTCCAAGAACAGCATAGATGGGCATGTTGACAATTTATTTGGTCTTGCAGATTGAATGCAAAAGACAGTTGTGTATCAGTGAAAAAATCCATAGCAACTAGCAGATTTCAGTTGACTATAGTCTAATGTGGGCATTGATTACTTTTGATTGGTAGACATTTTTTTTACATATTTGGCTTAAATGAATGCACACAATGAAAACAAATTGAGTTCCCCATGTTACTATTGAAATTATTACAACTAATACAGATATTGAAATTATGTTTTTGCCAGACATGTGTAGAGTAAATGTTCTGATGACACATATGGGGTGACTTACTTAGGGAAAAAAAATTTCAATTAGCCTCAAGTGAGCCTGTGATCATTTTAAATATCCAATTGACTGAAGTGAATGCAGCTTCACTGAGCTAAGTAAGTAAAAAATATTCTCTGAACACACAAGGTTCAATTTACAAAACTTTAACACAATTATAAGAATGTTTTATTTTAGTCATGTGACTACAATTTTGAAATCTCATTGGTCTCATGTGAAAATAGCTGTCACTTTTTAAAAATAAGGATCCTTATCCTAATGTGTTAGCTGTGCAAATTGAGTCTATATTCTTTTGTTATGCTTTTAACATGCATAGCCAACGTGCTTAGCAGATATTTAGTGGAAACCACAAATAATGTTGTATGTTCAAAATGCCTTTTAAAGAAAATAGTTACACAACTGTATGTTTGCAAACACAGCAACAATATGAATACATAGATCAATCATCCACAACTATAACCATGAACAAATCATGTGATATCAGCCAGTATAAAAATGACACTCACAAATGTCATATATTATTAAGAAGCTTGTATCTTAATTTGAAACATTAGTCAGAAAATGACTTGTCAAAGAGAAGGATGTGACATGAATCTTTAAAGGCTTTGAAGAATTAAGTGTCGAGATCTGAGGGGTCCAAATCAGTGCAGACAGGCTGATTTACTAAAGGAGTTGAGAATGTTTACACTTCAACAGATCCACTTCAATTATCAAGTTGTGTGCAGATGAAATGAATAAGAAGAATTTGATTTTCACATGATTGTATAGTTAAAGTGAATCTTTACTCTTTTTTTGTGTGAACATCCCAGCTCCTTTGGTAAATCAGCCCTTCAAGGCTCTCATATTGTTGTTAGGACAGTAAAAATATCATCAATTATTGGCTACTTTAGAAATATATAGCTCGGGGAAATAAACACAGAAATACAATATTTAACAAACTACGACATGATTCTCCATGCTATAAGCTCTACAACAATGTATTGACATCCATTTTATTCCCCATTGCGTTTTTGAATAGAGTTAATATTAGATTGTTTTTTGCAATTTTGTAAAAGATATCGGATTTTTGCATTGGGTGTTATCTGGATTAACAGCTTATGTTTTGAGAACATTTTAAATTACACATAATTTAATCGTATAACATGTTTTATAGATCATCTACAGTGTGTTCACATTTTGTATGATGTTTTACTGCCAATTCCAACAAAACTATTAAAGTTGTCATATGTACTTTATTTTGTATATGGAAATGAATAATGCAAGGAATAATATAAAGAAAATTTGGTGATTATTTCTACATGCAAATCATATTCCCTTAATTCCCAATCGCATTTCTTTAATAATGTGAAGTGTTATGTAAGCTAATGTGACCTCTACATGATTCTGGATAAAATCGAGTTAATTCTATGCAATATGTTAGTCTAGATATTCATGTCTTGTTTTATAACCATGGACATTATTGCATCAAATTCTTTTTTTTTTTTATTCCATATAATTCATTTTCCCTCATGTGAGTGAAAAATTATAGTCTGAAACTTGTATTTTTTGCAGTTCTCTCAGAGGTTGGTTCATTTGGGGCTTCAGTGTGTGATAAAATGTTATAATTATTATCTTCAGCTACTTGACTACCATTTAATTACATGGCTAAGACAATGCAGCTCAGCATGCGTATAAGTGAGTGTGACATTTTGTAACTGCTTTTCTTCTCTATTGTATTACTGCAAGGGTTACAAATAAAATTTAATAATAATACCATAACATGATTATATACCTGCAATTGTATTTTATTACCTACTTTGGTGTGATCGCTCTGTTTTTGGCTCATCAGATATGGAAAGAGATCAAATCCCGAAGCAATGTTGTCAGATGTTTGGTGGAGAGAAAGCACAGAAAACATTCCTCGATCTCGGTAGGAAGATCTTTAAATTATTTTTAAAAAAAATGATCTTTTATGTAGATATGCTTTTTTTACATACGTTTCCATTGTTGTACCATGGGTTATGGAAATATACAAGATTAACAACAGCAAATAGTGAGAGAAAGAAAAAGGATTTTTTGTATGTGTCTGGTGAGGTCTATAAGATAATTTATGTATCATATTAACCTGAATTTAGATCCAAATTTTCAAATCCATATACATTCTTATTATTTGAAACTGGCACAGCAACTTGTTCATGTGTGAGTTTATATGCAACCTCCAGCTGTGTGCTTCTAACATAAACATTTGAATAGTTGTTATAAACACATGTGTAATACATAGATTCCTTTCTTTCTAGACTATGATTGCAGCTTTTTTTTACCTTGGCACAGCACTGGCAGCTAAATGACTGGCACCAAATTGGATATTTAAAAGAAAACTGTCTAGGTCACGATAGATTGAAAAGTAAGGCATCATCTGTAATTTCAGTAGCAATCTAAAAAAATGATGTTCGCTTTAGGAGACAGGAGGAGAAGTTACAAATTACAATGTCATTAAACTGAAATAGTTTACATAGGAAACCCAGGACTGTGTTGTCATAGGCTAATGGTTTATTTTTAGCCATTTAACTCAAGTCATTCAACTTCATTCTTGAGACTTTTTTTGAAATTCAGGCAAGAATATAGGTCAATGAAATTCACACTACTCAGTCCAAATAAATAAAAGCTTCTTTTTACACTTTTCACCCTTTGGAAATCTAGAGAATCTGTTCACAACTTTATTTAAAGCACAGCAATGGCAAAGATGTTTGATAGCTTGATATATTGTCTAATAATATATTAATTATTAATAAGGTATCTAATGTCAACATCTGCTTTGTGTATTAATTATTGAGTGATTGTGCTTAATTTACAAAAGCCTTGGCCAACAAGGCCCTAAAACAACATTTATTAGAAATATGTAAAGAGCTAATGCTGTAATCCAGCAACACCAAAGCCCCAGTTGAGTTTTATTTAAACAAACATCCATTGCAACTACTATCTTAGGGCCATTTATAGTGCTTTCCTCTTATACTGCAGCTTCTTGTACATGATCATGTCATGTGCAACCCCCCTCTATTGCTTCAAAGTAGCTTTAACAGATTTGGTAAGAGGCAGTGATCACTGACCACATTGGCTTGTATTGTCTAATTTAGACAACCAACAGAAAATGAATACCATGGTGAGCATTTAAGTTACTTTGTAGATAAGTCATGTTCCCAGAGTTAGTTTTCATTCAAAAAATGGTCGGCAGTAATGTTTGTATAATGAATCTGGTGTTAGGCTAACTTAATTTATCAAAGGCAAACTTTCAGGATCCCTTAGATCCATTCTTTAGGAGAATAGCATAAACCTAAAAAAGGAATCTAAGGGGTCCAAAAGCTTGTATCTTTAGTCACTCAAGTTAGTAAGGTATAGCTTAAACTACAAATGTTCTGCAATGAGTTAGTAAAGATTTATATCCTTATCACGCTTCAAAATATTGTACGTATATTTACTGAAAAAAAAACCAGAGCAATTGGAAATTACTGTCAGTTTTATCACTTTCATTTCCACTGGAATATACTTCAGTAGTCATTTCCTTTCTCAAATACATTAGTAAATTTACTATCTTTTGAAGATTTTCTCTCTACTACTCACTACTTTGGCTGGAGAGCTGTAGCCAGTTCAGTAGCATGAACAAGCTGGTTAAATTAGAGTGATGGAGTCTATCGAGAACAGTTTTATTGGGCTGTTTGTTTCATTACAGGTAGAAACTGCTTTGTCTATAGTTCCACATTACTCAAACTTCAATAGACTGTATAGAGAACAAAGTGCAATAACTCCAGGTCATCAGAAATAATTTTCCATTACAGATAGCTAGATTCATATTGGTTATAGGCTACTGCAGTTTGTCCAGTTCATTTTTGTTTGTACCACTCTATTGAATAAGTCTTAAAGAGACTGAAGCCTCTGTGCTTGTTATATGGAAATAGTAAGACAATTTAGGCAGTTACAGTTAGAGAAGATAGTATTGTGTGGTTAGCAAAAACCCTCTGGGGTATGCACAATAGGAATGTTAAGTTTAGGTGTAAACCTAAACATTTAAAAATATGTTTATAAAATAGTATCTTACCACCCCCCCCCCCCCCCCTTCCACTTGTTCTATCTCTGGTATTCTTTTCTTTTTTCTTTCCTTCTATTTACCTTTTTTTTCCACCTGGTTTTCCTGCCAGTTCTGAAACTTATTGACCTAGGGTGACAATGCTTCCTGATCTGCTGCATTGTTACCCTAGAATGTACTTTGGTCTACAAGCTGTATGTGCTGATGCACAGCCCCAGTAATTGACAGCAGCTCCCAGAAGCTCTATTGGCCACACACTGGGTGGCCAAGTCTATGAGGAGAGCAGTGCACCCGTGTCTATGACGTGGGTGCAAAATAGTGGAAATGGGACTGAAGTGGACCTGCACAGTGTATGGATTTAGAAGAGCAAGAGGTAAGCCAAATGTTTTTATTTATTCTAGAAATGCATCTTATAGGGACACATAGAGGTTGATTTACTAAAATTGGAGAGTACAAAATCCGGTGCAGCTCTGCATAGAAACCAATCAGTTTCCAGGTTCAACCTTTCATACACACTACCAGCTTTGATAGAGAGGCTAAAAACAAAACCGACTATAAAAATGTCAGATCAATTCCACGCATCAAAATATAATCATTCTATGCTTTGGTAAGTATGGTAAGGGATCCCAGTCCTTGTAACAAAAACATTCTAGTATTTTTTAGTGCAAATATCTTGTTTATTCAACATTTTTTCAAGTAGAATATATAGTGTGATCAATACGCTTCTTGCTTAACATTTAAGCATGCCAAGTATATAGATCAAGAATTACACTCACAAAAAAGAGTGGGGCGTAAACCCTATGGGAAGGTGGAACTGAGGGGCAAAGTGGAGGGTCCCTAGGGGTATGAAGATGAGAATTCTTGAGAAACAATCACACATAGAGAAAACACATTCAATTCATTATGGCACTCAGTAATCCTAGGATTCAACCAGTGCAGCGATGTTAGCAAACTCACTGTGAGTTAAGGGTAAGGAAACCATCAAATTCCCTGTGGGTTCATCAACATGTTCAAAGTGAGTGAACCTTTTCAGGGTCAGCACTGCCCACTAATGTCTTCATTGTCATGATGTCATGAAGGATCTGGGTCCACTCTATAACATGTGGTAGGGTTGTTGTTTTTCCAGTTCTGAGAAATGGCCACATGTGCAGTCATGAGACAATGTCTCAGGATACCGTTTTTGATCTTCAAGATGGACCTAGGGATCATGGGAAGGAGAGCCACTTCAGGGGAGGCTCCCACATTAGCTATACACATCCTGTTATATTTAGTAAATACAGCCTGTCAGCAATGAATAATATGACAACATTCCCACTAGATACATACTGTATGTAGGTATGTGCCCTCCTTGGCAGAACACTGCCAACACTACAGTATTGACTGCTATTGATGTTATCATCACTGGTGCCATAAGGCAGTCTTTCCTAAACCTGTCCACAAATCCCATCAATAATGAATGCCTTGGGCATTACCACATGGGCAGCTAAGTTGCACTGATTATTTTATATGTGAAGTTACTTGCACAACATGTACTGCAATATGACCTTCCAGAGCCTTACTCTGCCCACTCTGACTCAACCATAAAGAACAATTTTTCACAGTAAAATCTTGTTTCCTCTATGGGCAACTGAACTTTTGTATTTGCTAAATATAAATCTTAATGCTGACCTTTGACTTTTCCTAATTTGTCCGATCACCTTTTCTGGAAACTGAACAGTTACAACAACTAAGTGCAGTTTCTCTAAATTTCTTTGCTTTCTTTCTACATTAGCTTTTATCTGTTTTTGCAGCCACTGTTTGGCATTAAGTGCTGCTGCTTCATTTACAGATAACCAGTATTCCCAATCTGTCCCCGGCTCACCTCTTTCAGTTGTATGGCATTTAGAGGGGTCAATACTGTTATTACAGTTTAGGGGCATTACCATACATTAACCCTTTAACATCGGCTGTATACACATATGTGTCAGCACTGGCTGGGCATTATTCTCTGCTGAGATATTTTTGCATATCTGTTTTTGTGGGCTCAGTTATGTGTACCCAGCATGGAGACCAAGCTGCCACTGACAGATCCTGGTCTCAGCCTAATGATCAGGAGTGGTTAGGAGGGGCTCCCAATGCCATAATCACTGTGATAGCCATTAAGAGTCATCACTTGTTTAGGAAGCCCCTCCTCTATCTCTTACTCCTTCATCTGTGAGGAGAAAAAGATACACTGGGGTTGATTTACTAAAGGCAAATAGGCTGTTTACTGTGCGAGGGAATTTTCACTTTGCAAGGTAATTTTTCCTTAGCTTAGTGAATAAGGTGAATCATACATCTATCATCCAATCATTTGCAAGCAAACACTTTGTTTTTGTTTTTTTTTTATATTTCCTTGCACGCTATTGGGTATTCTTTGCAAAGTAAATCAACCTCATTACATCTCTTTCTCCTCACAGATGGAGGTGTAAGGGCTTGTTCTCATCAGCTGACACACTAAAAGGTGTGTGCACTGATGTAAGTTGTATTGGAAAGGGGCAGTGAAATGCACTATTCACTTTTTACCCATTTTTAGACTTTATTGAAGTGTCAAAAAACAATTGTTTTCAGTGTGCCTTTGTGTTAAGCCTGCATTGATTTATAGGAGCCCTAAGAGATACAGTGGAGCAGATTGGTTCAAAACAGTAAATAAAGTGGTAAAAATGTCTATAAAGTGCTAAACAAAATGAATAAATAAGCAAATAATAAAGTTAACATTAATAGATCAGTGCCTAATAGAAACTAATGTTAGTACCAACAATATCAATGTTAGCATCCGTGTCAATATCGGTGTTAGTGTGTTCTAAAAAATAAATGCATAGATAAAATAACACAAAGTAAATAAGTTGTAATATTTATTATTGCGCTAGTAACAGGGGTTTTGTGTGCATGTGATCATGTGTCTATAGTGTCAGCTTTGGCGTTCGTATCAGTGCTTATGTCAGTGGCAGGGTTGCTGTCTAAGTAGAATATAAAAGGTGTAATATTTATTATCTTGATAGGGTGTGACATGCAGCTTGCATGATTTGTCAGTTTATTGTCTATTTGTATGGGTGCCAGTGTTTTAGGTAGGAATATGAAAATAAAATAAAAAATGCATATTTATTACATTGGTATTATGGGGTTTGCAGTGCACTTTCACACTGCAAAGTGTCTGTAATGTGTTTATGATACCTGACAACTGGATTCAGATTGATTGCCCTCTCTGCAGGCACACTATTTTTTTCTGGGTTCTAATATGGGTACAGGTAAGGGCGGACTGACAACTCATGGGGCCCCCTGCAAATAGGGGATCATGGGGCCCCTGTGTCCTTGCCCAAACTCAAAAAAGCCTATGAAAAAAGGTACCAGGGGCATCTCATGGGGCCCCCTACTGACCCCGGGCCCTCAGGCAGTGCCCGAGTTTCCAAATGGTCAGTCCGCCCCTGGTACAGACAACAAGTAATGAATGCCAGGAGTTGGAGAATTAGTTGTTGGGTTGTGGGTGTGGGTTGTCTTTTGGTGATGGGTCATGGTAATGGCAAAAAATATAAAGCTAAAGTGAAAAAGAGGCATATTTGTAACTATTTTGGGCCACTTTTTTGATAATAAAACAAATCAGGAGTTATCCAGTAACATTTACCCACCACATTAGGTCAACCTTTTTATGGAAAAAACAAGGTATGATTCACCTGGATTCACTAAGTAGTGTCAAAGATATGTACAGTTTTACTGAAACATGACAAAGTTGCAAAAAGGGTTGGGCTTTCAGGCTTGTGTTACCTTTTTCATTAAATTGGTAATAAACCTAAAAGCAAAACATGTAAAATATTGCAGTTTACCAATCCTTAAATGTGGTAGCTGCATTTGGTTTCTTTTTTTAGGCATTTTTTTCTTTATTTTTACCTGGTGGCCCAGCCAGTAACACACTACTAGTCTTAGGTTGTGTCTACTCTGGATGAAGGAGCAATGGAGACAACTTTCTCACTCATGTTTTTATTACATTTAGATGGACTTGACTAATGAATTTAAATTCACCCTTTTGAAAAAAAAAAAACAAATGCACATTTCTTTGCAGGTAAGAAATGTGAATTAATTTTTTTTCCATGGAGCCTGCAGTAGCACCCACTACCAGCAGATCATCGGTGCAAAGTCAGGCTCCTGCAGACCCCTGGGTAGGCAGTTACTTGAGAGCAGAAAGATCCATGAACTACAAGAGCGTTCATCAGAACCCTCATAGTTCATTGTGAACTACACACTGTCAGCGTTGATGGCTGATGATACTTGTCTATTCATTCACAGGAAACTGTGAATGAATGACGTGGCCGTGCAGGTGGAGCCTTGCATGGCCACACTGTTTTCAAATTGTGACAGCAGGGAGTGGATCTCCCGCCCACTGTCACAGGGAGGGAGGGAAAGGGGGAAGAGGGGGTGTGCATGCTGAACATGTTACATGTCCTAAAAATGGGTGTAATATGTAACAAGTTCAGAAAGGTGAAACTAGCCTTTGAAGCTGAACTCCATCTAACACAGGTACAGTAACCATTTTTTTTTTTTTCCTTTTGGGATAAAGGTTTCACCTGTCAGTGTTAAATAGTTTATCCACACCCTACAACTGTCACTTTTGCGGAACAGCTTAATCTGTTAAAGGAAGTTGATAAAGAACAGACTTACTGGCCACATCAACAGGTGAAAATATAGGGAAAAGAAACCTAAAAAGAAAACTCATGCAACCACCACATTTAAAGTGGATCTCAAGTCTAGCTGGCATCTTCTACCCAGCTTCTTCCCTGTGCTGGGATGCAGTCGTCTTCATTGGCTGGCACAAGATAACGTCACTCCTGCACATGCGTAAAAGTTTAGTCATCCTGGCATGCACAATCAGCTCTGGAATTTATGCTGAGCGGTGAATGAGCAGCTCAGTGTATATTTTTAAAGAAGACTGCAGGCAGGTACTGTATGTTTATTTTATTGCAAAAGAGACATTGCATGTCTATTCTGCAATAATTAGCCCACCTGCTTGCAGTTATGTTATTGGAGACTTTAGTTTCAGTTTAAGAATTGTTATTCTGTAATATGATACATTTTTGTTTTTGGGTTTACCCACATGAAAGAAAAATATATTTGAAATATATCTTTAAAAATATTCTTCCCATATATATATACTGCTTGTTGCAATGCGTTTTTATTACAAAATATATGAAAAATATTTTTAAATAGACATTTTTCCAATATACTGTATGTCTTTAAAAATACAAATCTACATTTTTAGAATGCTTTTACAAATATATGTAAAAATATATGTTAAAATGACTCTTTTATATGTTAAAAACAAATCTGAAGAATATATTTAAAAATATAAATTTATAAAAATATATATATTTTTTAAATATATTCTTCAGATTTTTTTTAACATATAAAAAGATAATTTTAACATATATTTTTACATATATTTGTAAATGCATTCCAAAAATGTAGATTTGTATTTTTAAAGACATACAGTATATTTGAAATGTATTTTTAAAATGTTCTTCATATATTTTTAAATATATATTTAAATATATTTTGAAAGATATTGAATATGGCCAAAATTGTAGCATTTCAAATATATGGCAATATATTTGAGAAGAATATTTTTTAAAATATATTTCAAATATATTTTTCTTCCATATGGGTAATACCGCTTTAAGTGGTTAAAAAACTATAAACTATAAATAAATTGTGCTGTTTACCTAGAAAAGTTGCCATGGAGAATTTTTTGCGCAATGTTTCTTTCCGCTAAGTAAAATAAATAATTATTAACTTTTTCTATCTAGTTTTCTAGCTTTCTAGTTTCTAGTTTATCAGAAAAAGTAGTAGCCCCACTGACTGGGTCAAAAAAAGAGCTGGACCTAGTATAAACTCAGAGACCAATAATAACAAGCTCATTGATTTTGAGAATTAAAGTGTATTGATTCAAAGTAAATGAAACTCTCATCTTTAGGTATTTTCACCAAAACATGGGCTCTATTGGTAGATTACCTCTCATGTACTGTTCTGGTGAAAACTGTAAGTTTTGGATTTCTCAACATTTCCTGTTTCTCAACACTTCCAGTGGTCACCAGTACAGATAAAGAGGGTGGGAAGACAGACAGCAGTAAAAATCTTGCAGAGGTTCCAAAATTTCCCTTTCTACCTACATATAAAAGGGTTTGTGTTTCAGGGGTGGTATTTTGGAGTTTTCGTTAATTTTGGGGGTATATTGGTTTTTTATTTTAAAAGAGCCTTTACTTTAGGTTAAACTATTTTTTTTTAATTTGTTGCATTTCTGAGGGTTTTGCTTTGCTTTTTTACAACAGGGCTTTTCATACATTTGGGGTGCTCAAATCAAAGCATTCATTTGTTATTGATCTTCTCCTCTTGGTGCTGCCTATTGTTCACAGTACACTTCTGCATCATTTGAAATAAAATGAAATGCAAGAACAATGGCAGCCTAAACAACCTCACATTAGTACTCCTATATGTCTCACATTCACCACAAGCCCCCCCATTGATAAAATAGGCAAAAACAGGTTAAGCCTGTTGTTCCTAAATAAAATAATAATTTTGCTGGACAAGTGTACACTGATGTTTTCCCTATGATAGCCTAATTCTTACAAGGAAACCCCAGGCAGTGCTCTTTGACTCTAGTGCATTTGGGCATAGCCTTGCTATTTAAAATTGTCCTGCAGCTGGCCAATTCTGCATTGCTGTATCATCAGTGGTCTCTTAATTCTTGTAGTAAATCACCTGCCTGTACTTTTCACCTTTAGTACATTTTGGCCTTCTACTGGCCAGTTTTAAACGGCTTTATCCACTGCAGTATCGTAAGGCTCCAGCATCAGCAATCTACAATCTAAAGATAATTTATATATGATGGTACTGATGCTGGGTACTCATTATGCCATTCTTTAATGCTGTACTCGCATACTCATGTCTTCTGCTACTGTTCGCTGTCTATTATTTTGAAAACGTAATTAAATGTTTGTGAAACAATTTCTATATGATGGTCAAAGCAGGTCTATTACTGTCTATTACATGTAAAAAAAATCAATAACACAAAAGCATTTTTTTTTCTAATTTCCTTTTTGTGTAATTTCATTGTTGCCCTCAATCTGCATGAAAAAGACCCCCTCTATACTGTGCAGTATTAAAAAAAAATATATAGTTTGCATTGGTACATTTGCCCAATGGAAGTGCCCAGCTTACAATGCTTTCTGACAGGAGTTTACCTATTAGCTCTGAAAATGACCAGAGTTAACAAAAAATCTGTTTCCTATCCCATAGACTTCAGTGAGTTAACTACATTTTAAGCAAGGTTTGCCAAGCCCATTACTAACGGAGACATCCATTTTGGATAAAGTTGGCCTTTAACCCAAGAATTTGTATTGAAAACTTTCAATGTTTTTATGTTTTCTACCTTGGTGTCATGTTTGAATTGCAGTTTGATAAGAGGAGATAAGTTTAATGTTTGCTAACTCATGCTAGATAGATGTTCATCAAGCAGAGATTGCCTACTTCAAGCAAAAAACAATTTTGTTCTGCTGTGGGTGGAATTATTACAGTAGGGAGGAATGGCTGAGCTGGCATCTTTGATTTTATTATTGTTCGATATATAACATTTTTTATGCAGTACATTTTTTTCTTTGCTTACAAAAACAAGAGTATATTCCCTTAATTAATGTAAATATTTTGCAGTATTAAAGTGATGCATAAAGAACAGCTGTACCTTTAATACATATGGCAATGTATTCCCCCCACCCCCATTGTTCAGTCCACTTCTGTGCTGGGCACTTGTAACTACCCTACCCTAAGCAGGAGTGATTATTCAAATTTAGGGGGGATTTAATAAGACTGGAGCATGCAAAATCTGGTGCAGCTCTGAGGAGAAACCAATCAGCTTCCAGGTTTTATAGTCAAAGCTTAATTGAGCAAGCTGAAGTTAGAAGTTGATTGGCTACCATGCATAGGTGTACCAGATTCTAAGTGCTCCAGTTTTAGCAATTCTCCCTGTTAGTAATCATGGATGTAATCAGCTCAACTAACATTGATAGCTCTGCATTTACATGGTCATTCCTAAACCCAGTGTTATCATTTTTGCTTGCCTGCTTGAGGAGTGTCCCTGGCATTAGAGTAGAAGGATCCAGTAATGCTGGGTTATGAATATTTATTTTTTGACAAACCACTAGGAGGTTTTTGTTGCCAGTCATGAAGGCTGGGAAGGGACATAAATATGACCTTGTGAAGCCCCACCCCCCCTTTTTATCATTTGTGCTTGCCTGCCTAAGGAGTGTTTCCAGGCATTAGAGCAGAAGAAACCAATAAAACTGGGTTATGAATGTTTATTTTTTGACAAATCACTAGGATATTTATTGCCAGTGGTGAAGGCTGGGAAAGGACATACATATTTGGGTGTGCCCTTGTAAATCCCCACCCCCTTCTGTCTCTTGTGTGGGGAAGGTTGTAGGCCTACTGCCTAGGGAGGGCAACCATGTGCTCAGGAGACTAGGTCAGAATCTGGGGCTAGGCTTCCCCTACCATGCTGGATGTGGTCCTCCCAGGGGAAGTCAAACTGTGCCTGAAGAAGGAGCACCATGGTGGTAAATTGGCTGAGATAGCTGGGAGTTCACCAGAAAGATTATGCCTTGTCCAAGAGCTTACCTCACCTTTGCCTACTGCCTCAAACTCACAGGATGATGGGTCACCTTAAAGGTTATTTTTCTGTGAAGGCTGGGAGTATGCTCTTTGTCTAATTACTGGAATCTTCTGTGATGTCAGGGGTGTCCTCTGCACTAACCCTATATACCTCAAAAGTTTCAAAAAGTTGCATACTAACATCTCTGCAAGCAAAAGATTAATGTTGTGGAAGCCAGTCTATTGGTCAGTAAGAGCAACTGTGGAATTGTTTAAACCGTAAACAGGCTAGGAAGCTCCAGTACAACCAGCAGCTCCTTCGGCGGTGAGCACTACACATTGCTTACAGCTAATCTAAAACTGGTCACCTCTATTGTAGTGCACAGGTGTGAGCCTGAGGCTATGGAGATGAAAGGGTGAGGCCCCTGCTTGTTGAAGCCACCCATTCATCTCTAGAGAGAAGACACTAACCATTGCACTGGGACAGTGCTGGCTGCTCTAAATGATAAAAGAAGACATAATACAAATTTAAAGTGGAACTAAACTCATCAATGTAAAGCTGAACCCATAACAATTTGATATAAAATA